CAACAAAGTAGACTATCACATCAGCAACAGGGCCATGGTTATGTGTGGTGCTCAGTTTTGTCAGCCTGACACAGTCCAGAATCCCCTGGGAAGATGCTCTCAGTGAGGGACTGCTTGATCAGGGGGTCTGTGGGCGTGCTTATGAAGGATTTTTCTTATCTGGCTTAATTGATAGGGGAAGATCCAACCTGATATGGACAGCACCATTTCATGGGCTAGGCTTTGGACCGTATAAAAGTGAAAGCAGCAGCAAAGCAGACCTAGCTGACGCAGTGGGCATGCACGCACCGTTCTGTCTTTGCACACAGATGTGCTAACTACATGAGTTAGTCAGTCAAGTCTGCCTTGACTTCCTCAAAATGATGGACTCAGACTTGGATCTGTGGGCTGAATAGGCCCTTTCTCCCCTAAGCTGCTTTTTGTTGGAGTATTCTACCACACTAACAGAAATGATACTAGGATTCATGGAAAGGCATGACTTTTCTGAAAATTGATCTACACCCCATCTATACAAAAAAAATCTATATTTGAAATTAAAACCAAGATTGATACTAAACTTATAAATAGTTAAACATAGAGACTAGTCAACTTGAAAAAGAAAGTGAAGTATACCCATCAGCTTTACATCACTGTAAGGGATTACCTGACAGACAGGCTAAGTCCCAAGTAGAAAGGTGTAATTTGGCTCATGTCTGGAAGTTGAAGTCTAAGATTGAGTGGCTGCACTGGTGCTGGCCTATGGCACGGTGGCATATCCTCATGGGAGCACATGTCAGAATGAGTGCCACATCCCAACCAGGAAGAGAAGGGACAGGAGGGGTCTTACCATCCCTTATGGGACCTTGGCCCCAAGGACTTGAGGATCTCCCATAAAGCCCCACCTCCCAAAGTTTTGCAGAACGTCCCAGTACCTCCATCCTGGGGACCAGGTATTTATGTAGATCTGTGGAGGACATTACCCACATTCAAATGATATCAAGATGGGAATGTCCTTCCATGATCAGGACATAATTTAGATTTCTCCCATAGAAACCACAGTGTTGGAAATGTAACAAACAAAATAACTGCATGAGAAAGCATGAGCAGACCCATGTCTACACATCAATAAAGTCGTATCAGTGAGAAAACTAACTCCCCAAGGCAAACACAGCCTGCTCCCACCCTCTCTGGTCTGGAACAGGGAAGGACCCAGAGAGCCCAAGTGCAGGACAGTGATTACACTAGAGCAGGCTCAGCAGATGGGAATGCTCGGCCTGGAACCCCCTCCAGGCTGGGCAAGGAGCCCTGCAACGCCCCCACCACCACCACCACACACACCCCGCAGAGCTCTTACCCGGTGCAGCTGACTCCAGGACTTCAGCGCACATCTCCCAACTCCTCCCCTGCTAAAGGAGGCTTGGTTTTACCTGGCCCGGTCCTGGGCCTCCATTTGTTAGTGTCGGGGAGGAAAAGAAGTTGATTTAAGTTGGAGTTAGCCAAGTATGAGGAGTCAGAGCTGGAGCTAGTGAAGGGAACTCCACGTGCACCCAAGGTACTGAGCTTTGGGATGACGAGATCACACTCCAGGCTTCGGTGTGACATGATCACGCTCCGGGTGCACGCCAAGCTGAGTGATTGCACGCCGCCATGTGTGGGAGGAAGGAAGCAGGCCCGCTTCTGCTTGGCCTGAGAGGCAAATTTGCATAAGCTGCAGAGTTTCCACAGCCATGAAGTTGTTGTCTGCCCAGTGGACCACATTTCCCAGTCTTCTCCACCAAGACAGCCTGGCAAATTCTCAACAACACTGGTGAGCGCAGGAGTCGAGTGTCAACACACCAGTGTGCACAGTGCTGGTGTCAACTACACCAGTGTACACAGTGCTGGTGTCAACTACAACTACACCAGTGTGCACAGTGCTGGTGTCAACTACACCAGTGTGCACAGTGCTGGTGTCAACTACACCAGTGTGCACAGTGCTGGTGTCAACACACCAGTGTGCACAGTGCTGGTGTCAACTACACCAGTGTGCACAGTGCTGGTGTCAACTACACCAGTGTGCACAGTGCTGGTGTCAACTATACCAGTGTGCACAGTGCTGGTGTCAACTACACCAGTGTGCACAGTGCTGGTGTCAACTACACCAGTATGCACAGTGCTGGTGTCAACTATACCAGTGTGCACAGTGCTGGTGTCAACTACACCAGTGTGCACAGTGCTGGTGTCAACACACCAGTGTGCACAGTGCTGGTGTCAACTACACCAGTGTGCACAGTGCTGGTGTCAACACACCAGTGTGCACAGTGCAGGTGTCAACTACACCAGTGTGCACAGTGCTGGTGTCAGCTGCACAAGTGTGCAAGTCACTTTTTGACCTGGGATTTCAGATCTTCACGGTCCCTTCCCAACAGGCCAGTCAGAACTTGTGACGACTCTCTTTCGTGCTGGATGGAGACCGCACCTGAAGGGAACCGCGGTCCCTGAGGGAAACCGCCGACCTATCTGCAGTGTTCGTGCTTACTCACGGGAGAGAACAAACGACACCTCTTTGTTCTATGAACCTGGCAGGTGTTGGGTGTTTTATCAAAATGGCTGTGCCGGCACACACACACACACACACACACACACACACACACACACACACACACACACACAGCTGGCACACACACGGCCGGTACACACACGGCCAGCACACACACATGGCACACACACACACACACACACACACACACACACACACACACGGCTGGCACACACACATGGCACACACACACACACATGGCACACACACACACACGGCTGGCACACACACACACACAGCTGGCATCAGAAATCTAGCCCATCTTATACTTTGGCTCTGTGGTGTAAAGAATGGAGGAAATGGCTTTCTCTGTGTCTCTCTTTGTCTCTGTCTCTGTCTCTGTCTCTCTCTCTCTCTGTCTCTCTGTCTCTGTCTCTCTCTGTCTCTGTCTCTCTGTCTCTGTCTCTGTCTCTGTCTCTCTCTCTGTCTCTCTCTCTGTCTCTCTGTCTCTCTCTGTCTCTGTCTCTCTCTCTGTGTGCTTGTGTGTGTGTGTGTGTGTGTGTGTGTGTGTGTGTGTGTGTGTGTATTTCCACTAAGATGAGCTGAATTAAAGAAATCAAGTTTTAAAGATACTAAAGAAAAATGTGAGGTACGGCTTTAAAAACACAAAGTCTTTGTTCCCGGTGCAGAACTCTAAAGCCTTTGGAATTTCTTGAGTCTCTGGTTCTTCCTAACCAGCACTCAGAAGGCCGTGTGTCTGTACTGATGGGGTGACCGTGGGAAAGGCCCTGGGTGGACTCGGGACTAGAGCGGTGGCAGCTTTCAGCCTACCCTCTGGGACCAGTGAGGAGAGGGAAGCTGGAGACAAGGCCATTAAAACGGCCTTGGAGTCTCGGGGACTCGAGGAGCTGGTGCACACACTAGGAAGCTCTGTTCTCTCCCAGTAGTCCTTTGGCTGTTCATACGGTGTGTCCTTTATGATACACCAATATGTAAGCCACACCTTTTCCTGGTTCTGTCAGTCATTCCCGTAAATTATAAAACTTATGGAGGGCAGTGTGGGAACCCCCATTTTTTCTTTTAGTCATCCTCTCAGAAGTACAGGGAATTGCTGGGATTTGAGCAGGCATCTTAGATGGGAACAGCCTGTGGGGACTCTACTAACCATGGATGCTGAATATCTCAGTAGAGTTAAATTCCTGGATGCCCAGCTAGTGATGGAGAACTGATGTGGAAACCCTTGCATATCTGATGTCAGAACTGAAAGAGCAAAAGATCCCGTGGTAGCTTCCATCTACACAGTGTGAGGGGAGCAGGACGGGGCCGACTCTGACATTTTATATAAACCTTCATTTTGCCTCTGCACCCACTGAACTCTGGTAGCATCAGTTGCAGCATCAACTTCAGGTGGCTGAGGACGCAGGATGTAAGCTTATGAAGAGAAGATACTGGATTCCCTCCAGTCCCAGCAATGTGGTGGAGAACAGTAAGTGCATGTGACTGCGGACCATTCTGAAAGATCTGCTGGCTGGGGTTCCATGAGTGAGCACGGAGACTGGATAGTTTCTAGATCTGTATATGCCGCCACCACCCCACCGCCCCCCAGGATGTGAGGGAGCCATCTCTGTCTGTCCCTCCCCCACCTCACTCTGCCCTAAGTACATTGTATATTCCAGAAGAGTTTCAGGATTCTGAGCTACAAAGATGCCACCCTGAGTTATGGATCTTTTTAAGGATTTAATAGACACTATATTTCAATTTTTGTATTTGTTTAGGATGGATGCAGTAGTCGTGGAGAACGCACAATCTACTCCATTTGGATATATTTTGGAGCTGAACCTCATCTCAACACTGGAAGGCCAGCATTTTTTGACCCAATGGAAGAGCCTTCCTCAGCTTGCAAGGATGGTAGTGTAGGGTGACCCCAGGCCCATCTCTGGACATTACTAACTGAGACTTATTTTAAAGAAATTAAACATAAAAAGGCATCTTAGAAAAAAGTGTTTTGAAATAAAGTTTATAAAGATCTACACTTTTAAGTAAAATTAATGAATTCTATTATCAGTTCTCATTTTTCTTCTTGGCAGATGCTGCCTTCAATGTTTAAACATTTGCCAAGGAAAAAAACCCTTTTGCCAACACACATTGATGGGTTTGCCTGTTTCAGACCAGAATTCAGAAACGCTGTCAAGAAGGCATTATTTGTCTTTGTTGTTATTTAATCTCAAAAATTTAAGTAAAAAGTAGGACATAAAAATTATTTTTAAATCAATTAATAATAATAAGGCTAGGCTATCACTCAGTAGTAGAATGCTTGCCTAACATATGCAGCATCCTTGGTTCTATTCCCAGAAACATGTGTGCACATGAGCATGAACACACTCGCACAGACAGAGAGATAGATAGATAGATAGATAGATAGATAGATAGATAGATAGATAGAAAAGAGAGCAGACAGAAGAAAGAAGAGAGAGGCTAGTACAATACTAAGACATGTTCTTACCTGGTCCTCAAAAGATAGAGCCTGGGCAACATCTCTTGGGAACCCATCAATAACAATGCCTTCTTCATCAGGAATTTGCATCAGTTTTTGTTTTATCTCGGTAATCGTTGTCTCCTTTAACACAAAGATGAAAACCTACGGTGTACTCCAGGTAGGGACAAGTATTTTTTGCACAATAATAAACAATCATGCAGTAGTACCTGTGGGGCCAGCTCCCCATTGGTAATTATCTTGGCGATCAGACTCCATTTTCTGTTGCTGCTGGCACTGTGGATTTTCTTCCTCAATAATTCTCCCACTGAAATGTACTGGAATCCGTATCGCTCTGCAATTTTCAAACTCTGAGTGCCCTTTCCGCTTCCTGGACCACCTGGCATTCAAAACAGGAAAGCCTGTGACCTTGCACAGAGAGACATTCCTTTCATGACAACTACTAAAGCACATTTGTATCTATTCCCTATGAAACGGAATCAGGCTCATATTTCAGCATTCAACATGAGATTACAGTGCTTTTATCTTTGCTTTTTGCATAATAATCAGAAGTTGTTGGTGGTATAAAGCACTGTGCTCCTACATCTGCTTGTCAGTAAGATGGAAACTTACTTTACTATAGGTACTAGCTTGCACTCATATAAATACTCCCAATACATTATTATTTCTTTTCCTTCTGTGGTTACTAGGGAATAAAATTTTGATTTGTCAATTAAAGATGAAAAAAATCCCCGTGTTAGCCGGGCGGTGGTGGCGCACGCCTTTAATCCCAGCACTCGGGAGGCAGAGCCAGGCGGATCTCTGTGAGTTCGAGGCCAGCCTGGGCTACCAAGTGAGTCCCAGGAAAGGCGCAAAGCTACACAGAGAAACCCTGTCTCGAAAAACCAAAAAAAAAAAAAAAAAAAAAAAAAAAAAAAAAAAAAAAAAAAAAAAAATCCCCGTGTTTAAAGAAAGCACCAAATTGACTAATTATCTACATTAAAGATTAAATGAAGAAACCACAGATTCATAAATCTTGAAAGGATTATTTTCAATTCATTACAGAGAATGACTGTGATGTTGTAATGGAAATCTAAGAATGTGAATTAGGTGTTAAATAGAATTGTAATTCTGCTTTAGTGAAAATTGTTCTAAAATGTTTCCATTTACTGTCCCTTGAACTTCTGTTTCTGGTTGGTTGTCATATTTGCAGATAGGCCACCTAACTGTTACTTCTGAAATGGAAGCCTCCGAAATTAGCAATAGTAGAGAACCTCAACGCTTGCTGTCATACCTATGACAAGGATGATTTTGGGTCGAGGTCTCGTTGGGTCAAAAACCTCATACTCTTCTATCAGCTCTGCAGTCTCAGACAGGTCCGTGTCACTTTCTATGGAGAACTGATGGATGGGAGGGAGCCGGTCATATCGTCGATAAGGAAAGTTTGAGTTTTCAGGCATTACTGCAAGAGAGTGAGATAATTATGAAAAGGGGAAAAAGGGCATAGTGAAACACTTTTCACAGTTGACCAACTAGACCAGAAGTTGTATAAATTAGCCAGTCTTTGGAAGAAGGAAGCCTTCCTTAGTGGTCAGCAAACTTTTTTCTTAAAGGGGCAGATAGCTGATATTAGTACCTTTTGATGTTGTTGCATTCTATATTCTCAATATTTAGTGTTATGGTGGCTTGAATGAGATGACCCCACAGGCTCATATATGTGCATGCTTAGTCCCCAACTGATGAACTGTTTGGGAAGGATTGTTGGAGGAGGTGTGGCCTTGTTGGAGGAGGTGTGGCCTTGTTGGAGGAGGTGTGGCCTTGTTAGAGGATGTGTGGCCCTGGGCTTGGGCTTAGAGGTTTCAAAAGTCCACAGCACACCCAGTGTCTCTTTCTCTCCCTGTTTGCTGCCTGGGGATCAGGATGAAAAACTCTCAGCTACTTCTTCAGCACCATGCATGCTTGTCTGCCGCCATGCTCCATGCCATGAAAATAATGGACTAATCCTCTGAAACTGTAAGCAAGCCCCCAATTAAATAATTAAATGCTTCATTTTATAAGAATTGCTTTGGTTGTGGTGTCCCTTCATAGTAATAAGACAGTACCTAAGATGAGTATCTTTAATTCTGTTGACTTACAGTGTAAATACATAAATATGAAGATTTAAATTTATATCTACACTGGCAACAAGCATTTGCCCCTTACTTCCAGATGTGTCTGTATGTGGAGGGTGATTGTAGTAGGAGGCTAAGCTGTAGCTGTGTCCTCAGTTCTGATGTAATTCTAGAGCATATGTGCTTAAATCTGATGGCCACACACCCACCAGGCAGAAAGCAAGTCTTTCCTGGTAAACTCTACAGCAGATCAAGGAATGGATAAATCCATCTGGGCTGGAGTCAAAAGAAATGATTTTCAAAAGAGGCAAGTCAGAAGTTAGAAAATCAACAGAGGTGATGAAACATAGGCAGCCGACCCCAGTTGGCACTCGCACATTAAAATGAAGAGTTGAAATACAAACCACACACGCCCCAGTGGTCCAGAAGACAGACCTGGCAAGCTCCAGACAGGCAGACAGATAGTATCAGCCATTGTCAAAATATAGCTCATGGCTTCTTCTTTTCTCATCCCAGGTGCTATTTTCTCACCCAGGATACAAAGAGAACCCTAACTACCAAACAACTCCTGAGGGAGGGAGATGGGCATCTACATGGCCTTCCATGAGGGCTTTCAATAGCTGATAAAGTGCCTAAGGACAGCACAATGCATCATCTCCCAAGATGCTCATCAGTTGGAACTTTGTATTCTGTATTGATAGAACACACTAAATCATTTTCCCACTGACTTACTAGACTGTTTGATTCCACTAAAGTCTTTAGAAAATATGAGGGAGGGCTATGTCATCGAGCACAGTAAACTGCTCTGCCTTAAAGTGAAATAATTTAAATATGTTTGCCAATAATTTGTCTTTGCTTTATGGAATTTTCATTTAGGAAAGTAATTTGCTTAGATGATGAAAATATTTTATGTTATGCAATAATTTCTCAAGACAATTGTATGTTAGTATAGCATTGCCAATGTGTTTGCAAAAATTCATGAATCACTATATTTTTAGAAATATTTAAGTTTAGGGGGGCAGTTAATAATTTTGTTGAATTTAACAACCTAGTCTACCAATTATGGTTTACACTTAGGAGGAGGTGGAGCTACCACTCAGTAGGTGAAATGCTTTTCTTCCTGGCATGAGGTCCTCCTGAGTACACTCCCCAGCATTTAAAACAAAAACAAAGAACACAAAGGATAATTACTTCACAAGACAAAAATTTGTAATTATGAGATAAATGAATTTAGAAAATATTTTTTTATCTTCCTAACATGTATTCCAGGTATAGGACAGTAAGATGTAATATTTTCTTGACCACAGTCCATAGAAAGGTCTGTCTAATGATTAATAAAAATATAATTAGCAGTATAATGACTCCTGTGTGGAAAAGGAAGAATGCTTCTCACTCTGGAGATATCTTTGAGGGTGATATTTCTACTTTCCTCTTACTGAACTTCTTAAAAATTAGCACATCATGTCTTTTTCCCACATTCAAACAAAATCTAACTGGGTCATGACTGACAAGGCCACACAGACTAAGAATTGTTTCCTTCTTATATTTATTGAGAATGAAATTGGTTTCATCCTCTGGGTATGCCTGAAACTTCTGTGAAACAGTATTTTTAATTTATTTTGTTATTTATTTATGTATGTGTCTGTGTGGGGTATGCACATGTGAGTGCAGAAGCCTAAAGAGGTCAGAAGAGGGCAGTAGATCCCTTGAAGCCAGAAATACAGGCAATTGTGAGCTGTGGGTAAGAAGTACTAGGAACTGAAGCGAGGTCTCTGGAAGAGGAGGAACCAGTCTTAACTGCTGAGCCATTTTTTTTTCTAACCATACTGTAGAACAATTTTTAAACATGGCTTAAATTTGAAAATATAATTGTCTTGGCCACTGGAAAAGAATTAGTTTAACTTTCCCTGATTGGAACTAATTTTGCATTTGCATACTATTATACTCACAACTTCCTTCAGCTGAGAAGGCTGATTGACCCATGTCTGACAAACATACACTTCAGAATGAGATTGGGAAACTATAAATTTGCTCCAACAAACTACAGCTTTCATTTCTCAGCTGCTCCTGACACGGTCAGCAAATTTGTTTCTGTGTCTTTCACCCAAATGACAAATGTATTGTGTTGAATAGTCACTCAGTGAATCTTTATTGAATGAACCTTATAAGCCATCCATGCACTTGTGTAAACACACTAATATGGGCACTGCACTTGGAAGCAAAATTAGTGAGCAACAACTCTAACTAATAAAAAAATGTTGAGTTATTATATACTAACTACCAATTTGATCTGCATTCTACTTGTGTATTTGGAGAAAGCTTATTAGCAATTTCAAAAAATAAAGCCATGGTTCTTAAATGTAATTTATGCTGCAAAATAATGAATTTGGTAATATAAACTTTCATTAAATTTACAGAAAATTGCCAGACAGTGTGTTGTTTTCTCCCTTATCACAGATGATTAGAATTAGTAGCAGAAAAAGAGAAATTCTTCCAAAACACTTATAAATCCAATCATTAAAAGTGCTCTCTCCAGTCTGCATGGCGTGTTTTGAAGAGACCTGCTCTCCCATGAGATGCCTACCATTCCACACACACATTACCATTTCTGAGGAAGGATCTCCGAGATTGTCCTCCATTCAGCGGGGGTAATGTCTTCTTTTCCTGGCTGACGAATGTGTCCCACTTCACCTTGTCACAGCCTCCTAGCTCCTTGACTTTCTGTAAACAACTTTCCAAGTACTCTATGGGGTCTTCAGGCTTGGAACACATCAAGCCATTCAAAAGGCTCTGAAATATATATATATAAAAAGTACAAATAAACTCTATTTTGACAGCATGTCCTAGTTAGCTTTCTGTTGCTGTGATAAACATCATGACTGTAAGTGTGGGAAAGAAAGGGGCTGTTTGGCTTACACTCCCACATTACAGTTCGTCACTGAGTTAAGTCAGGGCCGGAACTCAAGCAGGAACCTGAAGGCAGGGACTGGAGCAGAAGCCATGGAAGAAGCCAGCTTGCCCCTCATGGCTTGCTCTTCCCGATTTCTTATATAATCTGGGATCACCTGCTCATGGGTGGCATCACCCATAGTGAGCTGAGCTCTCCCACATCAATTACTAATGATGAAAATGCCTCACAGGCTTGCTCACAGGCCAAGGTGACAGAGGGGTTTTCTCAACTGAAGGATCGATCTTCCTAGGTGACCTAGCTTGAATCAAGTTGACAAAACCACCAGTAAGCATCAGCTTGTTAAAATGTTGTTATGTCTTATCTCTAAATTCTGGGTTGTCTTCAGCCTTTTCATTTGTTTTTGTTGTTGTTTTGTTTTGCTTTGGTTTTTTGTTGTTTTTTTTCATTATACAAAATAATGGATTTCACAATGTTTTTGTAACTGTATGTGTCTCATTGCGTTTTGTCCATGTTTGCGCCCCATCACCTCTCTTGGCTCCCCCTGTCCCTGGCCCCCTCTTGCCCCGCTTTCATGCCATTTATGTGTATAGTTGTCTAGATTGCAGCCACAAGACCAACTGTGCAATGTTGGTCATCTTCTGTTCCTTCTCTTCCCTCTAGTCTCCTTCCTCCCCACAAACAGTTCCTTCTGTTTTCATTTCATTTCTTTATTTGTTTGTTTAAATCTAGACTTTTATGTTAGCGAAGGCCTATGGTATTTGTCTTTTTGGTCTGGCTTAGTTCACTTAACATGACCTCCAGTTCCGATCATATCTCCTGTTTCCATGAAAGTTAATTTTGTTCTTCTGTATAAATGGTTAAAACTCCATTGTGTATTTATACCATTTTTTTTATCCATCCATCTGCTGATTAACGTCTGTCCTAGTTTCTTTAGCTGTCAGTTTGACACAGTCCAGAGTCATCTGAGTGAGTCTTGATTGGAGGATTGCCTAGATCAGATTGGCCTGAGGCCATGTTAGTGAGAGACTATTCTAACTGATCGATGTGGAAGGGCACAGCCCACTGTGGGCAGAACCATCCCTAGGCAGGTGGGCCTGGGATGCATGAGAAAGCTAGCTGAGTAGAAGCCAGAGAGTGGGCCAGGAAGCAGCATTCATCCATGGCTTTTGCTCCAATTTCTGCCTGAGCTATTGACCTGGATTCCCCCATGATGGATTGTTACCTGGAAGTATAAGTTTAAAACAATCCCTTTCCTTTCCAAGGTGCTTTTGTTTATTTTCTAAGCTGAATCTATTTCTTGTATATGGTGAACAGTGCCACATTAAACATGGATATGGGGGCATTTGTGTGGTATGCTTACATTTCTTTAAGTATCCAAGAGTAGTTTGGGGTCATATGGTAGTTACATTCTTAACATTCATTGTTGCTTTTGAGACAGAGTCCCACATAACCTAAGCTGGCTTTGAACTTGCTGTATAGTTAAGGATAATCTTTTTTTTATTAAGAAATTTTCTACTCACTTTACATATCAACCACAGATTCCCCCCCCATTCCCTCTTCCCACTCCCCAGCCTTCCCTCCCAACCCACCCCCCATCCCCACATTTCCCAAGTCAAGGTCTCCCATGGGGAGTCAGCAGAGCCTGGCACACTCAGTTGAGGCAGGTCCAAGTCCCTCCCCCCTGCACCAAGGCTGTGCAAGGTGTCACACCCTAGGCACTGGTCTCCAAAAAGCCCACCCATGCACCAGGGACAGATCCTATTCCCCTACCTGGGGGCCCCCCAAACAGTTCAAGCTAAACAACTGTCTCCCATATCCAGAGGGCCTAGTCCAGTCCTATGGGAGTTACACAGCTATTAGTCCACAGTTCATGGGTTTCCACTAGTGTGGCTGGTCATTTCTGCACGTTTTCCCATCATGATCTCCATGTCCCCTGCCCACAGAATCCCTCATCTCTATCACTGGTTGGATTCTCAGAGCTCAGCCTGGTGCCCAGCAGTGGATCTCTACATCTGCTTCCATCAGTCACTGGATGAAGGCTCTATGATGACAGTCCAGTCACCAAAGTAGACCAATTCAGGCACCCTCTCGACCATTGCCAGTAGTCCAAGGTGCGGTCATCCTTGTGGATTCCTGAGAATTTCCCCGGCCCCCTGTGAGGATAATCTTGAACAACTGATTCTCCCAACTCTGCTTCCTTTGTGATAGGATTCCACACATAGGATCTGGCTTATGTAGTGTCTGGGCTTGAACCTAAGGTCTTCTGCATTTGAGGCAGGCACCCTACCAACTGAGCTATGTCTTCAAGTCCACTTTGAGCCAGCTCCATACTGATTTCTATAGTGTCTACAGTAATTTACACCCCCACAAGAAGCATATGAGGTTCTCCCCCTGCATCTTCTCCAGCACTTGCTCAATTTCTTTACCACTGCCTTTCTGATGAGGGGGTGGGGGTGGGGGGTGGAATATCAGTGTGGCTAAGATTACATTTCCCTCATGATGAAGGATGTTGACCACTTTTCTCTTTATTTTCTTTTGCTGTTTAGATTTCTTTTGTGAACTGTCTATTCAATTCTGTTGTCCATTTATTGATTAGACGATTTACTTTGTTGGTGCTTAATTTTATGATTCTTCATTTATCCTACACGTTAATCCCTTATGAAATGTATAGCTGGTCAATTTCTTTCTCCATCCTGTCTGCTGTATCTTTACTCTACTGTTTCCTTTGCCTTACAGAAGCATCTTAATTGCATGTAATCCTGTCTGTCAGTTCTTGCTCATATTTCTGGAACTACTGATTGTTTCCCCAGAAAGCCCTTGCCTATGCCTAGATCGTGATGTAGCTCCCCTATTTTTCTCTAGTTGTTTCAAAGTTCCATGTCTTTCATTATGTGAGGACTTTGATCCATTGTGAATTTTTTTTTAACAAGGTGGGAGATGCATATCTAGCTCCCTTCTGCATGTGGATACCTAGTTTCCTGGGACCATTTGTTAAAGAGGCCAATGTTTGCTTTTGCCACATCTGTCAAACACAGGTGTCTATAGCTTCGAGAGTTTACTTCCAGGCGCTCTGTTCTATACGTTGGTCTCCATGTCTGGTTCTACGCCTTTATTATGCTGTTTTTGTTGTTGTGTAGTATAATGTGAAACAACCAGGTATAGCAATAACCCCAGAATTGCTCTTTCTATTCTTTCATTTCTTTTAGTAAACAACTTGAATTGAAATTGAAATTTGGTTGAGGATTTAAGATAATCTGCTGTGGGATGTTCTGTATGGCAAATGTGTTGCTAATTAGTCAATAAATAAAACACTGATTGGCCATTGGCTAGGCAGGAAGTGTAGGCGGGGCAAAGAGGAGAATAAAGCTGGGAAGTGGAAGGCTGAGTCAGAGAGACACTGCCAGCCGCCACGATGAGAAACAGCATGTGAAGATGCCGGTAAGCCACGAGCCATGTGGCAAGGTATAGATTTATGGAAATGGATTAATTTAAGCTGTAAGAACAGTTAGCAAGAAGCCTGCCATGGCCATACAGTTTGTAACCAATATAAGTCTCTGTGTTTACTTGGTCGGGTCTGAGAGGCTGTGGGACTGGCAGGTGAGAGAGATTTGTCCTGACTGTGGGCCAGGCAGGAAAACTCAAGCTACAATAATCCCTTAAATCCTTGACCAGTTAGTTGTGTTTTTTTGGTTTTGGTTTTTTGAAACAGGGCCTCACTATGTAGCCTTGGCTAGCCTGGAACTCACTATGTAGACCAGGCTGGTCTTGAACTTATAGAGAGATCCACCTGCCTCTGCCTCCTGAGTGCTGGGATTGAAGGCTCAACCACCACACCCAGCACCAGTGAGTTTTCTGCTCAGCATTCTCTGTCTTTCAACTCACAAGGCAACTGTGCAATTAAATACAGAAGACTCCCATCACAGCAAGTGTATCATGGGAAATGTCCCTGCCATTATTTATTTATTTAAGTCCCTAACATCTTATCCTGTCTTTACTAATATTTCTAAGCCTTAGCTCTGCTGTGAAGTGGATTTTATTTTATGTAATTTTTAAAATGTATTTATGGTTCTTATTAAGAGCGTCACATGTAACACATGTTCAACAAACGTGGGCTTTAGTTGTTATCATGATAATTATCACAATGCCTTTTCTGAAAACCTGGGCTGGCCTGTGGACCCTTTCTTTCATGTTCCTATGGGACTCATGATGAAATGAAAGGACCAAGAAGACACCATAACAAGCTGCTCAGTCTTCTCTCAGAGACCAGGCCTCAGTTTCAGTTTCCTAAGACTCGAGCAAGCAGTTTCTGGGAGGGCCATGAACAAAAGACATAGGCCTTGCACTAGCTCCCTTTCTGCATGTACTCTGACTGTTGAAAGTTCAGCCAGTTGTTCACTGTCTGGGACCCCTCATCAACTTAGAGCTACGTGCACGGATCAATGTGAGTGTGCAAAGCCAGCCAGCCTCCATGGCAGCTCACGGACAAAGCATGGGACTTGTCCAGGTCTGCCCCAAAATGATAACTATAACCCCCAACCAGTAAATTCAAAGGTTACACACCCTCACCCAATCATATGATGCCAAGGCTTGTACCACCCTGTTTGCGGTTTTTCCCTTTAAAAATCCCTTACCCTGAGAGCTCAGGGCCGTTCTCCTCCAACCCACTGTGTCGAATGTTGGACACAGACCAAGCCCAGGCTTGCTTGTTATCAATAAACCCCTGTGTGTTTTGCATTGGATATCAGCTCTGTGGTGGTCTTGTTCGGGGGTCTCACAATGTGGCCACAACAGAAACACCCCACTTGTCATTTATATTGGAATATTGTTTTATGTGTCACTCTCCCAAAATATAAGATTTCATCAAGACAGAGTAGGCCCCATCCACTTCTTAGTTTCAAGCACCTGATACTTTCCCTAGTATATAGTATAAACATGTTGGAGTTTTATGATTAGAACTAAAAGATAATTCCAAACTCAAGTCTAAGTGAGACTTAAAATTGAAGTAGGAGGCTGTAAAGATTACTCCGTGGTTAAGATGTCTCTGTTGCTCTTACAGGGGACTCAAGTTTGGTTCTCAGCACACACATCAGGCAACTTACAGCTGCTTATTCCAGTTCCTGGGGATCTGACACCTTTCGCCTCCACAAGTACTACACTCATGTGCACAGACCCAAACACACACACACACACACACACACACACACACACACACACACAGATACAAAGATAGGCACACACACACACACACACAGACCCAAACACACACACACACACACACACACACACACACACACACACACACAGATACACAGACAGACACATAAACACACACAAAGACAGGCACACACAGACACACACACACACACACAGATACACAGACACAGATACACAGACACAGACACACACAGAGATGCACAGACACAGACACACACGTAGACACAGAGACACACACAGAGACACACACAGACATACACACTTAAAAATAATAAAAACAAATCTAGAACTTTAATGTCAGAGATTTCCAAAATGCTAATTTATATGCAATAAATCTCTACAGTATCTATTAAGATTATAGAGGGGAAAGTATGGTCTTATTTGGTTTTAACTGGTAATGCCTTGCAGAGGACAAGCAGTCCACATGCTCACAGATAACCCTAGAGAAACCAGAACTGTTAAACACTCAGGGTTTTTTTTTTCAATGGAAGAAACTGACACCTGTTCACCCAGAAGGCTAGGGTGGATGTCGTTTGATAACCTGGTGATCTGTTGTTAGTTTATGGAGCCAGCCTTCACCAGAATCCTGAGCATTGTTTCTCGGTCGATAGAATCCATCCTTATGCTTCTTACGAACAGTCCTGCCTAGGCCATTCTCCTGAGCACTGTCTCAGTCAACAGAACCCATTTGTGTGGCAAAGGCCACAGGCCCTTCTCTAAAGAGATGCACTTGCAGAGGAGTTTGAATGTAGCCATGCCTAAGGCTTTGCTGTGAGAATTGCCACGAGGAAAAAGATACCACTTGGCATCTGACTCCAGAAGACTGAACCAGCACTGACTAAGTCGGGCTGAACCTGAGTTTCCTTCTTACCTCCTTTGGGCTGTTTCCTGGTCAGACACAGTGTTTGCAGGGACCCCAAAGTGTGTAACTAATGGAAATTAATACGCACTATTTTCCAAAAATTCTATATCTTTGGAAATGCTGACTCCTGGGGACTGGTCTGATGCACAAAAATATTTTCCTTTAGAATGTTTCATGGAAAAAGCATAAATTATTCACCTATACATTACTAACATATAAAGCACACACCCTTTGGGAAAGTTGACAAGCCCCAACATAGCTTTTAATTTTTAAATTAGTATTGTTCCATTTTCCCAAAATGGCAGGCAATTCCTGCTAGGTACATTTGTTTTCTGAAATCTTAAATGGAGTGGGTTTGGGTGTGCAGCTCCATCTGATGAGTTCAGCTGCTGAGGGGGCAGAGAAAGTGTCATCCAATTTCTGTGAGCAGGTTCGCTTCCCACACCCCTGCTACCCTCTGGGCCAAACTGCATCACACACCAAGTCCTTGTGTCTCACTTATGTGGACGCTCAGTCTTGAAGGGAGCACCACCTCTGCTTTTTGGGGTCAGGAAATCATATTTCAGGGATATTAGTGACTTGCTCAGCTTCGGGACTCCAAGACAGTTTCTCTTGGTAAACTCAGATAATCTTCCTTGCACATCTTAGAAAAACATGGAATGGGGTAAAAGAAAACACCAGATTTTTTGTAGTTCATTTATAATCCAACCAAAATATTAACATTTAAATTAATGTTTACTTTCCCAAAGCTTAAGTTGTGTGGGTATATGCATTGGAAGTGTTTCTAACTGGGAGAAAGGCATTTCCAGCTTTCCTAAACAAAACCAACTCCCGAAGGGCATTGGGCTCCATCCACTCTTTCATTGATAATTTAAGATAATTAAGTCCTTTTTTCTAGTAGCCAGCTGCCCCAGGGTGACGATAACTGGTAGATGCTATTTCTTAGTTTCTGCGTTAACCCTCTGAAAATGTGAAGAGTCTAATTGGACTTTTGATAGCATTCAGACTAATTGCCAAGCCTTTGCTCTAAGGTCCAAGATCAATACTGACATTACAAAGCTCGGTAGAATTAGGAACACAGAAAAACCAGCTGAAAGCGTTTGTTTTGTTTTTTAATTTAATTTTAAAGTGGAAGTACTTTTCAACTATGAATCTAGCAGATATCCTATGCCATTCAAAGAAATCTAAGAAGTCTCCTTATATATGTAGGGTTCTTGGTTTTTTTTTTTTTTTTTTTTTTGGTTTTTTTTTGGGGGGGGTGATACACAGATTCATTCATCTGTTACCTGACCTTTAATGGTGTGTGCTATCTGTGACTGTTTGGGGTTTTGACAGACATCTGGTTAAACTTTATATACTTAGAACAGTGTGGATCTGGCATAGAAAATACATTTTAGAAACCTGAGGTTTTTGATGTATGTGGTCTGTGCTCGTCACATGGACAGTCAGGTCTTGCTTCCCTCTGGACTGTGCACAGCAGATTCTTCTCTTTGTTCAGATGGAATCACGAAGTCATGGACCTTCTCTCTCCTTCCAGCTCTTTGCTGTCCAGAACTCAGTCTCCTACACTGCTTGAGTGCCTCTCAGGTAAGCAGCTGACTTCCTTTTGGGTGTGTGCACTATTTTGAGACATCCCATTCATATGCAGAAAAGTCAATGAAGAGCTTTGAAGGCTAAACAACTCCTTGCCATAGCTTATTAGCATACATGGTGTAGAGTTTTGTGAACAGGCCATCCAGGTTTCTGTAAGTTACCTGGCACCACAGAAGAGAAACAGTTCCCACATTTTGCAATCAGAAGGCTTTCCTATGGATGCACCATCTATCATTCTTTCAAAAGTGTAGAAATAAAATTGGTTTCAGTCTTAACGTTTATGATTAAAATTTCCGCTGTTCATTTCCATATTTACAAAACAAAGCAAAAACTCTCGAAGTACTGTAATTATGGCAGCCCATGTTAAAGACAGTTTTTTGGGGGGAGGGGATTATTGTAAACATTATTTTCTTGAGAGATACACTTTTCTTTGAACAGAACCAACAGGGAAAAGAACAATGCATGGCCTTTAGTTTATTATATTAGTCTATCATTTCCTTTGAAATGGGAGGCCAGGTTTTTGAGGGCTCAGCCTATGAAGCCTGGCTTGGTGCCATTATTCTTTAAATTTTATTTTGTTTTATAATCTAAGCCAACAGCACTTCGTTTTTAGAGGTGTTTTAAAATCGAATGTGGAGAAAAGAAAAGGAAGCAGGACCTCTCTCTGGGAAGGCCGCTGTGGCTTGAGCAAGGTTCCTATGTAGCTCAAACCTCAAGCCTCCTTTCTCACATTTTCAGTGTTCCCGCATCCCCTGGCCCCCGGTGCGGATGCTGCTGCTGCGCGCCAGCAGAGGCCAGCAACAGGAGGCGCGCCTGTCTGGCCGCTCCCAGTCCGACCCAGTCTGTGTAGGTGGGCTGGGGCTGAAGGCTGAAGCCTGGAGGAGCGACCTTCCAAGGAACCCACAAACGCGCTCATGAGTTCACTGACTGGCAGCATAGAGCTTCACCAACCGAGGAGGTGGTGCTGCACTTAATCAGCTCTGTGTGTGTGTGTGTGTGTGTGTGTGTGTGTGTGTGTGTGTGTGTTTCCCCCTCTCCATCTTCATCCTTCATCCTTCATCCTTCTCCTCCTCAAGCTGTCCCCCGGGAGAGTCGCCTAGTCCATGCTTCCCCTTCCTTACAGAGTCCCAACTCTCGGCGCCCGGAGTGTTTAGGGCTCTGGACCCTTCAGTTTCCTGTCCTGGCTCCGTGTGGGCAACTGTACTCTCACCTGGCTTGACCCTCAGCCCCAGAGAGTGCTGCCAGGCCACACTCCCCTGTCCACTGTGGGTGCCCATCTCTGAGGGATGCGCTGGGGCAGCCTGCATCCAGAACCCGGCTTCAAGAGGAAACTTGATCCCAAGATGCGGGTTTCGAAGCCCACATTTGAAAGGGACCCTAGCAACCTGCGGGAAAGGCGACTTGTCTGGGGCGAGGGGATCGCTAGCTTCTGCGAACACCTTCACTAGGTACTCTGCACCGGAAGGTGCGGCCAGGCGCTGGGGACCCGGGGTGGCCGCTGGGGACCCTTCGGCCGCCCAGCCTCTTACCTCGAAAAGCTGAGGAATGTCCCTCCGGGCCAGGTACTCCTTGGCGTCGTTGGTGTTCATGGCTGTACGGCGCGTGCCGTGGGGCGCAGGCGGGGAGGCTACGGGAGCTGGGGCTGGCGGGGCGCAGCCCTCACTTGGATGCGCGCAGGCCGGGGTCTCGGCGACTCCCGGGCAGCTGTGCCGTCCGCGCTCCCTTCGCCCCCGCGTCCGCGCTGGTCCCCCCGCCAACAGCGAGCAGCCGCGGCTTCCCGGGCGCAGGCAGCGCCAGCACCAGGGGAGGGGCGCGGAGGAGGACCGCGCGGCCGACGCCACCAGCCGCCGCCTCCCGGCTCTGCGCTCTCGGCCCGCGTCTCCGAGCCCGCTGCAGCGGCCGCCAGTCACGCTGCGCGGGCGGGCGCGGGGGTGGGGACACGCGGGTTGCAGTCGCTCCCCAGCCCGCAGCACAGCCAGGGCACCCGGGAGCCAAGGACCGGGCAATTGGAACCTGATACATTTTCACTTCTTCACACACACCACACACCACCACCACCACCACCACCACCACCACCACACACACACATACACACACACGTTACCCTGAGGTCCCCCAGGAGCTCTTCCCAGGGAAAATCCAAGTCAGAGAATTCACATATTCTTAAAGTTAATAATCCTTCAGTGATAGGGAGTTGGGAGTGGGGAAGGAGGGGGAGGGGTTTTCATATTGATCATTTGGAGTACCCAGTTCTTAAGGGAAGTCTGGCTAGCTAGTTTCACGTTTCCTTAAACACTGGAGTAGAAGGCCTGAAATCATTAGCAGAAGAATTAGTGAGTAGTCAAGGGCTCACTTCTGCTGGGAGAAGGAGAGGAGAGCTAGAGTCTGCTTTACACTAGAAAGGGCTTGATGGGTAAAGTGAGTGGACATCAGATTAAGGACCATGTGGTCGCTGGCCCAAGGGCCACGGGAACCTCCTGTTAGGAGATGGCTAGTGAGGTGCAGTGGTGCCTACTCAAGGATGGTGGGCCTTTTTCCAGTTACAGATCACTCTCCACCAAGGTGTGCCCATCCTCCCCACAGTTACCAAGATGACTCATTCCCCACATAAGATGTCTTTTCACTGCCTCTGAGAGATGCTCTGAGCTTCCTGGGAATGTGATCTCTAACTGCTTGCAAGAGCCCACTCTGCGGGAGGGTATGTGGTAGAAAGGAAGTAAAAGCTACAGAAGATAGGCATCTGGGGGCTGGTGGAAAGCAACACTTTAAACACTCCAAATTCAAAAGCTCACAGTCTGAACGTCTGTTTCAAGTTCATCTTAACAGATCTTTCCTTGGTCCTGTTTCTCACCACACAGCCACGGCTGCTGAAGCCCAGGGATGGCTGCCTGCCACTTTGTTTGACATGAGGGAGGGAGCTCAAAAATTAATTAGCCCAGTTTTGTGAATTAAATGAAATTTGTGAGCACTTGTGAAGCCACATGGTCTTGTGGTTGCCTTGACGGAGGCAGCTGTTCAGTTCTGAGTACAATGGGGTCCTCTGTTAGGACATGTTTTAACATATGTCTCTCTAGCTTATTTGACAGCAGACACTGGATGGAACCAAAGCCACCTCTGCCCTAGGCCGTGGTTGCCACAGTCCTTGGAAAGTCCTAGGGCCCAGTGGCTTAGTGTATGTTGAAGCACAGGACTGAAGAGGTCAGTTCCTGTAGGTCTTCTCCAGGTCATTGTTTCCTTTGTTGTCATTGTTATGGCTTGTCTGTTTTAAGGTGGTGCATGATTCTTAGGGACTTTAGTAAACCCAGCAAGTGACAGCAAGGCCCAGTAAAAAGAGGTCAGATAAGAAACACTGTAGCTAGCTTGAGAGAAGATGTAGCAAGTTTTCATTAGCCTTAGAGAGTGACAGTCTGTGCTCTTTGGTGTATCCCAGGGTGGAGAGGTTCACAGGGGCAAGACGCTCAGCATTCCTGTTGCAGAGTGCAGCCTCCTAGGGAAAGTGCAGCCTCCTAGGAAGGCACATGTGCAGAAAGCACAGTGTTTAGAACCTGGGCTGACGGTTCAGAGGGAAGAGAGAGCAGGAAGGAGAGTGCATCCCTGCCGCGTCTAAGCTGTCTAACAAGGTTCCTGATATGGTTCTAAGGCTACGCATAGAAAGAGCTTGAAGGCCCGTGGGCTGCAGAGATGCATTCCTACAAGCTCTAACAGACCATGAGTTACTCCGTGTCTGCTGCATTTCTTAACAATTTACACATCGCCACCTTTTCCCATATTATATTCAGATAAAAATCTAAGTGGGTCATGAGCAAGTAAGTTTAAACAAACTAAGGTTTGTTTTTTGTTTTGCATTTAATACAAACAGAATTGTCCCCATCCTCTTCAAAATCATTTGGCATGGCTTTAACTTTTTGTAGAATGGTTAAAGTTTTGAAGATCTAAGGAGTTTGGACATCGGAGAAAAGTTAATTAAATTGTCTCCTGTGTCAGATCTTGGGAGACTATGCTAGTTTCTGAGCTATGGGAGTAACTAAGGCACACACCATCCCTTGCTGGCAAGGAGCCTCGTTTCCATTGGAGAATGTGTGTAAGAAGCATGATGGGGGCCAGCAGATGCTCAGTGTTGACAAACCTGACGAGCTGAGTTTGTTCCCCAGGACCCACATGCTTGGAAGGAGAGAACCAACTCCCAAAATCTGTCCTCTGACCTCCACACATATGCTGTGTGGTGCTGTGGCACAGGTCCCTCACCCACCCACCTACACACACACACACACACACACACACACACACACACACACACACACAAATAAATAAAATGTAATAAACAATTTAAGCAGTACCCTGGCGGGGGTAGCAAATAAATGGACCAACAACTTCAGACTGTGATAAGCAAAAAGCAGATAAACCACAGAGGTAGAAGAGAAGCAGACACAAGCCAGAGCCTATCCGAGAGTGGTAAGTGTTACAGGGAAGTCAAAGCGAACTTGATCTGAAGCAGAGGGGGCGTGTCCAGATCTGTCCTGCGGAAGGGGCTGCGGAAGTGGACTCTAGAGAGTCACAAGATGATGACTAGGACTTCCAAAGGGCCAGGGATGTGGAGGAGGAAGGAGCTTTGGGAGGGATTTGTCTCTGAGTCATCCTTAAGGAGCCTGCTCCTGCTGACACACAGACTGTGTCTCAGCAAAGGGCCAAGCCAGCCAGGACCTGTTCCTCAAGTGGCTAAGGTTGAGGACCACTTGCCCATCCACACAAAGAAGGGCTTCGGACTTTGTGCTCTCTCCACTAGACCCTGGACGGGTAGCAGGAGCCTGCATTCAGCCCTCAGTTGCTCCTGGCAGACTTGTCTGTCAGCCATCTTCTGACTGTGGCCAGTTTAGCGCGGAAGACTTGAGCAATGATGCAGAAAACATTTCTCACAGAAGAAAGGGTTTGGCTAGTGGGAGATGAGAGGGCAATGGAGGGAATGATCAAAATAAGATATATATAATTAGGTATGAAATTTTGAAAAACATTTGTAAAAGAAGAGAAAGTCTCTGGGAGGGGACGGGAGGGGGAAGGGGAAACTGGTTGGTATGTAAAATAAATAAATAAATAAAATTAAAAAGAATAGAAAATCTCTACTGATAATATCTAAAGAAATAAAAAGGGAACCTTTTCTGTGTTGAAGTTACTCCTCCTCATCCTGGGAGCTGAATGGACTCAACAGCAGGGACTAATCTAGTTGATGGTACTGGCAGAATGACAATTTTGGCCATAATATCTAACAATTATTGTTTTTATATGTCTGCATTGTGCTAAGAATGTCACAAAGTATACAGTATGACATACTTGTGCATTTTAATTTTTAAAACAACCTGTAAAGTATACATTATTTTCATCATGTTAAAATCAGTCACTAAAAGTCAGAGAGCTAATTGCAAGACTACGTAACGGCAAGCATCAGGTGATCGCAGACTGGTGCCTTATAATCCTTCCCTCAGCAATCATTGTCTACAATGATTTCCTTTTGCCTCTGTCTCTACCTCCCTCCCCGCGTGTGTGTGTGTGTGTGTGTGTGTGTGTGTGTGTGTGTGTGTGTGTACTTGGGTGTGCATATACATTAATGCTGAGGCTAGAAGTTGACTTCAGGTGTCTTACTTAATCATTTTCTACCTTATTTTCCTCACCAAACCTAGAGTACACCACCTGGTTAGACAGGCAGGCCAGACAGCCTTGGGATCCTCCCATCTCTGTCTCTGCAGCCCTGGATTGCAGGCATAGGCCACTCATCATGGCCGGCTTTCCCAGGGCCCCCATGTGTACTGGGGATTGGACTCAGAGCATTCTCCCCTTCCCCACTATCACTGCTTTCTAAGGGCCTTTCCATCTTTCCTTTCTGTTTTACATTGGTGTGTGTGTGTGTGTGTGTGTGTGTGTATGTGTGTGTGTGTGTGTGTGTGTGTGTGTGTGTGTGTGTGTGTGATTTAAACCACAAGCAATACAGAACAAACTTACACCATGGATTTTCCAACTCTTCTAAGTTCTTTTCTGCTTGAAATGTCTGAGGTTCCAGAGGTCTTGTAGGAAGCATATCATTTCTTTTTTTTTTCTTTTTTCTTTTTCTTTTTTGGTTTTTTGAGACAGGGTTTCTCTGTGTAGTTTTGGTGCCTGTCCTGGATCTCGCTCTGTAGACCAGGCTGGCCTCAAACTCACAGAGATTCTCCTGGCTCTGCCTCTCAAGTGCTGGGATTAAAGGCGTGCACTACCACTGCCCGGCGAAGTGTATCATTTCTAATCATTAATTTTTGAGTGTTGAATTCCTCATGGGGAGCACAGAAAATATCCATCTTCTAATTATTCTATTTCCTTCACTAATTTATAACTTATTGGACCATTTAGGTCTGTGAGAAATTTGGAAGCTTTTTTTTTTCCCTAGAAAAAGTACTAAATATGTAAGACCTTCCACATTTTTGCATACACTGTTTTGATAAGTATGCCTCTAGTTTACAAACAGTCTTTTTAAGAGCGTCTTCCTGAAGCTTTAACTTTTGTGGTAACTGGGATGCACATATTAGTCTCTTAAATCTGGGATCAACACAGAGCAATATAACAGTGTGTGACACAAATCTTCAGCCTAAGAGAAGTTTCCCTATGTTCCCTTTCTAAACTACACAGGCTGGACATTGACATTCTAGATTCCAAAGACCACTGGGAATTCTTGGGTTAGGATTTAAAAGACTGAACATTCTCATAATGTCTGAAAGAATTAAGAAAAATTCCAAGTTGAATCATTTCAATCTGGCACCATCAAAGACTATGGTTCAGGAGAACTTTACATTATGGTTTCATTAATCGATTGTTGATGCAAAGTGCATTCCTCGAGCCAATGTTTATGAATAACCGTCTACATTTCCAACCCATGTTTGGAGCTAGAAACACAAAGGACAAGACCCAAGGAGTTCAATGTCTAGTAAAAGGAGAGAAACGTGTGCCAATTAGGTTTAGATAAATGCTATATTGTAGTGGTGGGGTGGAAGCAGACATGTGAAGGACATTTACAGCGAGGACACAAAGTGTAAGAATCACATAAACAGGAGCTGGAAAGGATGACTCAGTGGTTAAGAGCACTGACTGTTCTTCCAGAGCACCTGAGTTCAATTTCCGGCACCCACATGGCAGCTCACAACTGTCTGTAACTCCAGTTCCAGGGGACCCAACACCCATGGCAAAACACCAACACACATAAAAAAACATAAAAAGAACCCTATAAACATACATATAACAAGCACTAGACAGAAACCCCCCAAATAGACTTTCTTTCTGTTTTTTCACCATCCTCAAAACATGACTTGTGTTTTCCCTGCTCTTGGCCCCACCTCCTCGGCCCCAGACAGACAGTTTTTCACACACGTTGTCCTCGCCATCCTTACGTGCATGTTTATGCTCTTGTCACCGTCATTTGATGGCTTTCGTCCATTGAGAGGCTTGACAGAAGCCATGTCCCCAGCTTCTCCCAAGGATGCACATTTTGATTGCTTCTACTATTATGCTACTCTAAGCAATTCTGGTACAAACTCTGTGCATATTTTTTCACATTTTTAATTATTCCTTAGTATAAACTTCCAAAAAAGGATTGCTAGATGAAATGGAAAAATCATTTTGTGGTTCTTACTTAAGTTTCCAGAAGGGTCTGATCTATTCATAGCACCATAAGTCATGTTTTGAGTAGACGAGAGATCTAGTTTTATTGCACTTTCTTTAATAAGGAATTCTATTTTCATCTTTCATTTAAACCAAGATGGATGAAAATTGCTCATTAAGACAATCCCATCAGATTGTTCCCATCTCCTTTGCTAGGTCTTGTCTTCTGATGTTAGACTATTTCCATCTTTCCCTTGTCTTTCATTGTTTACTTTATCATGATGATACTTTTGTTTATGACTTGATTACAGTATTTATTATATTCTGCATTATAGGAAAATTGCTTCCCAAAATGTGGGGATTTTTTAATGTTTGTTTGTTGGTTGGTTGGTTGGTTGGTTGGTTGGTTGGTTGGCTGCCTAGGTTTTCCACACATGGTTTCTCTGTGTAGCCTTGGCCGTCCTGGAACTTGCTCTGTAGATCAGGCTAGCCTCAAACTCAGAGATCCACCTCACCTTCCTTTGCCTCCAGAGCCAAATTGTGCCTTTAATTGGCTATCTGCATCTTTTGGAAGGAAGTGTCTTTATATTGGCCACAACACACAGTGTAGTATCTTATACCTCGTGAGGCTAACAAGGAAAACACTAGGCACAGTGTCTCCTTTATTGGCATGTAGCTTAAGGCAGGCACTATGTCCCCTTTTGAGGATAAGAAGAAAATGAGGCTAAGTCTCAGGTCACATGAGTAGAGGGAGATTAAACAGTACAAACAAAAATCACTTCTATATGTGCGGATCTAAATGTAAACGGTAAAGTCACACAGCTTCTAGAAGGACACGGAGGAGAACAGGTCTGTCACCAAGAAGTAGATTAAAAGTTTTAAACAGGTTGTTCATGTTGTTAGAAATGAAAAAAAAAGATGAGACTAACAAGAGTAAGAATTTCTGTTCATCAAAAGATACAGTCAAGAGAGTAAAAACATACCTGACTGGTCAGGAGACATCTTTTCAATACATACAGCCAATAAAGGACCCAAATACATAAATAACTTCTGCAAATCAATAAGAAAAAGACAATTCAATGTAAAACTGGTCAAAAGACTTAGACATGTCACCAAAGATACTGTCACAGTTCAGATTCAGTGGCCATTAACAAATCAAACTCAAAACTTTATTAGTGATAGAGAAAAATATGATGGATAGCTTTAATTGTTAAGTTGATATGACCTAGAATCACCTTGAAAGAGAGTCTCAGTGAGGGATTGTCCTCATTGGTTGGCCTATGGGCATGTCTGTGAGGGGATGGTGGGAAGACCCCATTCACTGTGGGTGGCACCGTTACCTACATAGGGAGGTCCAGAACTGTTTAACAGTGAGAAATTAAGACAAGCACAAGCAAACGAGTACACATTCATTCATTTCTTTCTTCTCTTAATTATGGCTGTGATGTGACTAGTGTGAAAAGTTCCTGCCTTGACTTCCACCTAATGATGAGCTGGAATTGTGAGTTGAATTCAACTTTCTTCCCTCAAGGTGCCTTATCACAACAACTGAGTGAAATTGGGACAAAACGCAAACTAATACACAAGATGATGCCACTATGTACCCACTGGAGCATTTACCTGGAAATAAAGTAGAAGGTGGCAATTATCAGTTAGTAAGCCCGTGGAGCTGTGAGGATCTACCGCACAACCACTCATTATTTAGTTGTTCCATCACAGAAACACTGTCTGAAGTAGCCCCGAGCTGGAAACTACACCAGTGTCCCCAATACCATACACTGTGTTTCACTCACAAAATGTGATCCCACAAGCACTGAGAATCACTGGTCTCCAGGTACTTGTTGAAATGGATGAAGCTCACAAATACTTTGAGCAAGTGTCAGACAAGAGAATATTCACTCTGTAATTCTATTTGTAAGAAGTACAAAACTAGTCACATGCAAACTCACCTCAGAAACCACAAGGGTGTCTGCCCACAGGAGACTGAAGTGGCCGGGAGCCTGAGCACAGTCTTGGGGATGTTTCTAGATTTGGAAGCAGGGTCACACAGGTATGATCATTGTGTGGATGCTCACTCAGCTGCACAAGAGGACAGTTACTTTTTCTGCATGCATATCACACCTCTAGGAAGACTTAGTCACTAAAAGTAAAGGTGATGGAGCATGAGATTCAAACCCAAGACCATACCATTCTCTTTTTTTGCTAATTTTTTTATTTTATAATTTAGTTTAATTTTACATATCAGCTATGGATTCCCCTGTCCTCCCTCCTCCCGGCCTGCCCCCCACCCACTCCCCAGCCCACCCCCCATTCCCATCTCCCCCAGGGCAAGGACTCCCCTGGGGAGTCAGCCCAGCCTGGTAGATTCAGTCCAGGCAGGTCCAGTCCCCTGTTCCCTTCACCTAGGCTGAGCAAAGTGTCCCTGCATAGGCCCCAGGTTCCAAACAGCCTGCTCATGCCCGGTCCCATTGCCTGGAGGCCTCCCAAACAGTTCAAGTTAATCAACTGTCTCACTTATTCAGAAGGCCTGATCCAGTTCCATGGGGGCTCCTCAGCTATTGGTTCATAGTTCATGTGTTTCCACTAGTTGTTCCTGTGCTTTGTCCAATCATGGTCTCAACAATTCTTGCTCATACAATCCCTCCTCTTTCTCTTCGATTGGACTCCTGGAGTTCCACCTGGGGCCTGGCCGTGGATCTCTGCATCCACTTCCATCAGTCATTGGATGAGAGTTCTACCACGACAGTTAGGGTGTTTGGCCATCCGATCACCAGAGTAGGTCAGTTCGGGCTTTCTCTTGACCATTGCTAGTAGTCTATTGTGGAGGTATCTTTGTGGATTTCTGTGGACCTCTCTAGCACTTTGCTTCTTCCTATTCCCATGGGATCTTCATTTATCAGACCATACCATTCTTAAATCCCAGCCTTCAACACTGTTCCATGAGGTTTTGTCATTGAATGATTGACCTCAAGAGAAATTTGTAATATACAGCCATTTACTTGGTCCATTATTATTGCACTTAGAGTCGACATTATATTGTACATACATTTTATTATAGGCAGACCATGATCTCTTTCCAGGTTATTCTCTCACTGATTCTGGGCTCCTCACAGGCAGGGAGCGTGTCCTAGAATTCTTTATATTTATGTGTTTTAGATAATGCTTGTCCCAAAATAGGCACACATGGGAGAATAAAATTCCTGTATCTGGAGCTATAATAAAATGCTTAAGACTCAGCTGAAGGGATTTATAAGCAAATAAGTAAACATTCTAATACCTTTAAAAAGAAGCATATTGAAGCCTTTTAAAATTACAGCATGGCAGCTTAAATGAACTCTTAGACAGAGTCCAAATTTACCTTACAGGAGTGCCTGTAGGTGCTGAGGACATTTAGCTCTTACAGCGTCTTTGTAATATCTAGCAGTGCAATAGTTTATAAGTGTGCGATTAAGCTTATAAGTAAGTATACAATATAAGCATATAAGCCACAGCGAAAATAATACAGGATAATTCCTCAAGTCAACATGTTTCTTGAGGACCAACTTGTATACCAGACATCAATGGCAGGAACCTAAGTAGTATTGTACATCTGAACCAGCAAGGAGGCTGAGCCTGACGGATGACCTGAGTGCAATCCGGAGAACCCATATGATGTCTCCACAACACCTCCCTACAGGCTAAATACACAGTTTGTTTTTACAGAATGCAAACAACACATTGAATTTCTGTCCTTTTATGTCATTATTGATGAATTGCTTTTCTGTAAGCCCCGAGGCCTGAAGTGCTATCCCATATATCTGTATCAGAAACAGCATGTCCTTCTGAGTGTTGACACTGTCTGATTGTTATGTCTTTACCTCGTGGCTCATGAACAATGCGTTAGTAATGTGTATGTTAATCACCTAGGATGAGTAAGACAGAATCTTTGCATCCAAGGGAAAAAATGTGATGTTTCTCAACAGTCACAAGTCAGTCACGTTGGTGTGCTAGAATTTTTTTAAAATTACCAGAATCTACCATCTGCTGCTGTTTTTTTTTATCTAGTTCAGCCACATTTCTTCTGTTAATTGTCATCCTGCAATATAATTAATTTCCACGTCGCTTCTAACTGGATGAAATCCCACCACTGAAGATGTAGTAGAGTTCTGCCAGCAGTGATTGTTTTAAAGGAACGCTTGCCAGGTAAGTCAGCATGCTGCATGTGTGTATGTGTATACGGGTGCAGGTGACCACAGAGGCCAGAAGAGGATGTCAGGTCCCCTAGAGTTGGAGCTGTGGGTAATTATGAGCTGCCTCTGACTTATGTGGAGCCAGGGACCTGAATTCTGGTCCTCTAGAACAGCAAGGGCTCTTAACTGGTGGGTCATCTCTTCAGCCTCTTGTGTAAAAGTTTGAGTACCATCATACGCATGTCCAACATGGTATCCATTGTCTACCTGTATTTAAATTTAATATAGTCAAATTAGTAAAGTGTATTCAACGTAAATACAATCAGAATTTTTATTTCTTTTTTGAATGAGCCACACCGCAAGTGCTCAACAGCTGTATGTGCCCAGGGGCTGCCACATTGTGTAGGTATAGAACATTCCATTACTGTATCAAAATCTATTGGGTCTGTATAGAGAAATAAAGGTCCAATAGCACAGAACTCTAGGCACTTCACAACTGCATTCCAACTTATTTCTTAGATATATCTTTCACTATATTGCTCACACATTAGCTATGTGCCCTGAATTTCTTTGTGTGTTTCTGAGCCTCAACTTGATTCTCTCAGCTAAAATTCAATTCCCTTGTTTTACACTTGGTGAAATATTCCCAGACCATTGAGGCCCCATTTAATGAGAACATCCGCAAAAGCCATTGAGCACTAATGGGTTTAAGTACTTCCTTCTTCAGTCCTTTCTCCTGCCTATGAACCTTTTTGATCATCTACTAATGCCTTCAAACATGTCTCCATGATTGTACCCCTCACAGCTTGTCATGGTGCTGTGTACATAATAAATACTCTAAAATGACAACTTGAGGAATTTCAAATATTGGCCTTATCTTATGAGTATCTATAAACCCATTGCTTGATGTGCACTGAATTTTAAAGTTTATTTGATCCATTATTTTCTAGGATTATTTTTGTTGTTGTTTTGAAAAAGGGCCTCACTATGTAGCCCTGGATAGCCTGGAACTTGCTATGTAGACCAGGGTGGCCTCAAACTCACAGAGATCAGCCTGCCTCTGTCTCCCGAGTGCTGGAATTAAGGCATGTGACACAGTGCCCTCCTTCTAGTATTATAATTGTCAAACTCATCAGCATTGGCTGGGGCAGTAGGGTCAACTAATTACATCGTGTCACAGGCACAAGCTTGTCTTTTTCTGACTGGAGTTGAGGCTGGGGCATTTGAGTTACCTACCTTTGCCATCCTCTCTCATGCCAGCAGCTAGCAAATGAGATGCAAGTTAAACCAGAGCAAGGAAAAGTAACTATAATCCCTGATGACTGGTGCTGGGTGCTAGGAATTCCTCTCTGCTAGCTGTACCTGGTCACTGGTTTTACAGAATACAACCAGCAAGGCAGCAAATGGTTGTTAAAACCATGTGTATGCTTCCTTAGAAACTTACCTGTCACTACACTTCCATTATTCAGAACCAAAGGAAGTTGGACATCCATGAATCTATTTTTCAAATGATGAATTATGAATAGATAAACAGAAACCATCTACCCTCTCATTTTGGGAGACTCAATGCAGGATGCAGCATGTGCCTTTTAAGGGTGTTTTGAATTGTATTCCTCTTCTACAACATTCTTATTTATAACTAACTCAGAAAATGACAAGATTATTTGTGAAAATCATTTCATATTAATAAAGTGCTGGACATCCTACTGATGGAATTACATCATGGAGACGTTTTTGGTTATTTCTGCTACTCTGAACAAACATGTTCAAAAGAAGATGCTTCCTAATATGACCCTGATATCATTCTGATATCTTGACCACTGTTATCCAATGAGAGTAGGAAATGAAAGCACCTCGTGCTCATGCTGGAGTCCACACATTCAATAAATCCTCTTAAAACTTATTCTGAACTCCTCTCCATCCATCTGTCTATCCAGTAACTACACCACTGACCTGGCTGCTTATGGTTTGCCTAGATATCTTCATCTGTGACTGTCTCTTGTCCCCAGTTCTCCCAGGACAATGGACTGACCAGTCGATTCTTTCATTCACTTAACACTTATTGATCATTGGTTTTAGTCCAAGTATGTGCTGTGCTTTGAGGAAATAAATTCATACTCATGTGGCAAGATGCTCATGGTCTCCTTAGAAAAAAAAGGTACTAGACCAAAGCATCCATACAGGCCAGGGCAGAGCAGGGGAGCAGAAGAGCTATGGTGCTGTCTGCCCTCTTTGATCTTTCACTCAGCTATCCATGTCCACAAGCTCTTAACTCAGTCGCGTATTTCTCCTTCAATCACAGTACTTGAGCAATAGAGAAAGGAAGAGCAGGAGTTCAAGGTCATCCTAAGTTACACAGTGCGTTTAGCTACATGAGACCCTGTCTAAAAAAACTCATATCAAACCCACAAAAAATAAGACGAAAAGGACATCGTAACCTCTGTCTCACTGAATTCTTGTGAGGGATTTGCAGAGTTGAGGTTTTTTTTTAATTTTTTAAAATTAAATTAAAGTCTTGGGTTTTATCAGGTCGGGTCTCACTATGAAGTTCCATCCATCCTGGAATTCACCATGTAGATCAGGCTGGCCTCAAACTCACAGAGACCACCTGCCTCTGCCACTCAAGGGTTGGGATTAAAGGTGTGCACCATTATACCTGGCTGCAGAGATGAATTTAACACAATTCTCTACCTCCAAATTATAGTTCATTGCCTCCTGAATTTCTAATTCTAAATATTGATTTAAGATTCCATTTCTAACATCCTCTGCTCTCTCCCTCACGTGATAAGCTCAAATTAGGTAGATTTGTTTCCATGGACACCCAGACCTGACGCCTCCATGTCTCAGCTAAGGTACTTCTTCCTGTCTGGATCTCATTCTCCACCACACACAGCTAAATTCTTCCTGCTTCAACAACCTTGATGAACACAATCGTCACCCTAATGTTCCCTTGTTCTATGCACCATGAAAGAACTATTTCCCATAAAGTCCCCAACATTTCATTAGAAGTTGTGAAAATGTCGTGTTTTTATGAGACATGACACACTGAGGACTAGAATGAGAGTAATTAAAATCTGTACATTGAGAACTTGAACTGTGGATCAGTTTGCATTTGGAACTTGGGGAAGGTAGAGTGGCAAATGAAACCATAATGAGACTCACGGTGTCGGAGGGTTGTCTGGCCCTGTGTGCTTAGGCGGAACATCATGGCGGTGGGAGCCTGTGGAGGAGTGGTCCACTTCCTGACAGCTGGGAGCAGAGAGAGGGGATACAGACGCAGCCAGGACAGAGCACAGCCCCAAGACACACCGTGAGTATTTCTAGTTTTCACACTTACTTTCTCCCTGCTAAGAAAGCTGGGGTGTGTTTTAAAGCCAATTAAAACATTAACAATTTATTAGTCATAAAAGCTTTATGTTTTAAGATGTTATGACTAACTTTAAAGTGGCTATTTTCAGTCTGTAGCTGTCTTGGTTCTTGGTTCTTGGTTTTTTTCCTGACTTACCTTTAAACCATCTTTCAAAAGAGTTGAGTACTTGAGAAGATGTGTATCTTCAGAGCCACAGAATGTTTTAATTATTGAAGAAAGAGTGGGTTTCACTGGGAGCGTCATTTGCTTCATATGCCAACAGATCACTCAAGCAATGGAAAATGTTAAATATTCATAAGTAAGGAATACTTTCTGAGTCAGCAATTTGGTCCTGTTGTGAGGTTTGCTTCAGTGGAGTCTGAGAATGCATAATGAACTAAATTGTTCATTACCAAACAATATAGCTTCATACTTGTGTTTGTGTAAGTTTGGTGCAGTTTCCTGAGTTCCCCAAACGCCTACATTCTCTCCGTGTGCCGTACGATTGATGGTGAACCCTTATCACACCCATGGTCACCAACAAGCAGGGCCTAGAAGGTGCCGAGACGAAGGCAGTGGACAGCCATTTATAGTTCTGCCAGTTCCACCAACTGTACCTTCTTTTGCAGAAGTGGCCTTAGTCTCCATGTCCCCATGGATGGACCCACAAAAATGAAATAAAATAGATATATATCTGATGGCTCTCTGAGCAACCCTGCCCTTAACCGACTCACACCTGTGCTTTTTCCTTTTTTTCAGTTTTTTTTAATTAAGATTTTTTTTTATTCATTTTACATACCAACTACAGATCCCCCTCTCTTCCCTCCTCCTGCCCCTCCAGCTTCCCCCCCAACCTACTCCCCATTCCCTCCTCCAACAAGGTATGGCTTCCCATGGGGAGTCAGCAGAGCTGGGTATATTCAGTAGAGACAGGTCCAAGCCCCTTCCCCTGCATCAAGGCTGTGCAAGGTGTCCTTTCACGTGGTGATGTAAACATTCTCTTTCTGTTTGTGTTTTTGTGTGGTTTCTGCACTCAGATGCTTGCCTTCTTACAAACCCACCATTCCTGCCTCATTTGTCTTGTGGAGTCAGTGAGATGGAAGCTCCGGCAGCAGAGCTTCCCAGGGACTGCTGCAGCACTGAGGTGAAAGGACTCACATCCAAAGAACACAGCATGATGATGAGCTGGGTAGACCCAGTCCACAGGTTACCACCAGGGATGACAGTGGGTAGACCCAGTCCACAGGGTACCACCAGGGATGACCCTGGGTAGACCCAGTCCACAGGGTACCACCAGGGATGACAGTGGGTAGACCCAGTCCACAGGGTGCCACCAGGGATGACAGTGGGTAGACCCAGTCCACAGGGTACCACCAGGGATGACAGTGGGTAGACCCAGTCCCACAGGGTACCACCAGGGATGACAGTGGGCAGACCCAGTCCACAAGGTACCACCAGAGATGACAATGAATAGATCCAGTCCCACAAGCTACTACCAAGGATGAAAGTAGGTAGCCCCAGTTCCACAGGGTACCACCAGGGATGACAAGGAGGTTTGAGACTTGAGGACTTACTTCATCAGAAGGGTTTCTGACTCATCCCATTCTGAGAGAGTAGATCAGAAGCCAGGACACTGGTAATGATCACAGAAAAGTGACAATTCTGCCACGACCTAGACGGAAGTATTTGTGAAACGAAGAACAGCTACTCCCAAGAATGATGGAGCCAACTGGGCAACCTGGGCGAGTCAGGGCAAGAAACATTGGTCCCTTTCCCCTGTCTGAGATGAAACTGAGTTACAGAAAATGTCTGACCTTTGCCATGGCAGTGGGCTCCAGGGCACGAGTTACCCAGCAGCACACCCCGAATTCTAGATGAAGCATCTAAAGAAAGGCAATCTCCCTTACAGGAGGCCAGAGGAAGCAAAGGCTGGCTGAGGACCTTAACTCCTTCCAGTTGCCTCATGTAAGGCATATGCTACCTTCAGCACATGGAGATCGTCTAGAGAGAGAGAAGCATGTCCGGCTTTCTGAGATGCAGCTTGTTTATCTAAAGCAGAGCTTATTAAATACTTTCCATTTTGCCAAAGAAAATTTTACATACAGTATATAGGTATGTAAAATAGGTTTACAAATCAAACATTTACTGATGATAAACTCATAAAAAATATTTTAAAATGTATTTTCACCATTTATTAAATATGAAAGCAAATTCACATACTAATGAGATGAGTGTGTTTATTTATTTTACATAGATAATTTAGTCTTGGCTGAATATTTGATACTCCAGGACACAGATCATCTATAATGTTTTTCTGAGTTGATTAATGTTTTGATTTATAATCACCAGTGCTGAGAATTCTGTACACAAATACATAGTACAAAATGGCAGAGGAGTGTGAAGGGCCATTTCAGAAACCTCAGAACTTCTATACTTAATCCCAAGCCAAAATTCACCGAATTTCTTTAACATCACTCAAGTCAGCAATCCAAACATCAGTTTTTAAAATCAGACATTTTAAGACAATAATATCAGAAACATGCTAATTTGGCACTTAGATGCTGAGGAAAGACTGTGGGACAATATCGTCATTTCTCATAATGAAATGAGTGTGCTGCTCTGAGGGCAGGAAAGTTTGCATGCACAGTAAAAGCCTGGCGGTTCATAATGTGTTGTCACGCTGGCGTGCACGCGCTGTGTGTTTGGAACCGAGACAGTGGTGAAATCATTGGATGTAACCCGGACAAGTACTGCCAGTAACACCGCAGATCCATTAGGCATTTGATTTTCAACAAACTGTTGTTAGTGTATGATCAGAAACCTTTCACTGTTTTTCATGACGCCATACTCAGCTGCTCAGGGTCATGACCGAGGTTTAAGAAGTGAGGATCTACGGTACTAGACGCCTCGGATAGGTATTTAAATGATCGTGTGATACTGAAGTGTAAGACATCTGGACTGTGTTGTTTTTGTTCTTGCTTACCTGTGAATGAGAGGTTTTCAAATCTGGATTTCTGACTTCCAAATATTCTGTTACGGGGTTGAACAAATCATGCATGACAACTTCACACGTGGGCTTCCCCAGCAATCCTGGTACATAAACATGCTGAACATTGGCGGATCCGTTAGTATAACCACTCTAGCTGTGGCTGCGTGCCAGAGCAGAAGGGTTAGTGTCTGCTTTTTATGAACGAGGCCTTAGTTGTTGATAAACTCACAAACACCTTAATTGTGTCCAACTCTCCTACTATATACTCTGGACAGCCTATGTTTACCAAAACTGCATGGGATTAACATTTTACTTGACATCAAAGTTCTGAAGTAAAACAGACAAAAGACAAACAAACAAACTTTCTCAACGAATCAAGAACTAAGTGTGAAGCAAACTTTAGTTCTTTGGGTTTGCCTCTTAAACAATAAAAAAGGAAAGTGGAAATTTTACTTACTCCTCAGTGGTAGCCAACTAGTTTATTTTCGGCTCCTAGCTCCTCTTTAATTCAAAGTAGTAGAAATATTTTGTAGTGAAACATCAAAAAGTTACTTTAATTTCCTTTAAAGAGATGTTAGATTGAAAAGGTATACAGAAAACACTTTATGAAAATAATCACAGATAAGAAAATATTCCTGAAATGATAAAATTTACTAGTTTTATAAACAAACAAGTAGCAAAGGATGCAGGTTTTTCCTTTTCCCGTATTTTTTCTTTTTTATTCACAGTATTTCCTCAAACCAAAAGATTTTTATTAACATGCACTTTAAAAACCCACAAGAACGTTCCTTAAAGTTTCTAATTAAAGATGACATGAAGTGTACATATTGGACTGCAGCCTTTGAGATGAAGTGTAGAAACTGTAACACACCCAGACAGCTCTTTTCCAGGAGTCTTGTCTTATCCATGCATCGTTTGCTTTCTGTAGTTTCAGTTACCTGAAGTCAAACATATTTTCAACATATTAGACAGAAAACTCCAGAAATAAGCAATCCACAAGTTTTAAGTTGTAGACCATTCTGAGCAATGTGATGGCACCATGCATTTCTCTGCTTTATCCAGGACATGAGTCCTTCCTTTGTTGGGTGTATCCATCCTGTATATGCTATGTAGCTAGAGTTTTCCTGCCTGGCCCACAGTCAGGACAAATCTCTGTCACCCGCCAGTACCACAGCAGCTCAGACCCGACCAAGTAAACACGGAGACTTATATTGCTTACAAACTGTATGGCCGTGGCAGGCTTCTTGCTAACTGTTCTTACAGCTTAAATTAATCCATTTTTATTAATCTATACCTTGCCACGTGGCTTGTGGCTTACTGGTACTTTACATCTTCCTTGTCCTGATGGCGGCTGGCAGTGTCTCTCTCACCCAGCTTCCTGTTTTCTCAATTCTCTTCTCTGTTAGTCCCCGCTTATACTTCCTGCCTGGCCACTGACCAATCAGTGATTTATTCATTGACCAATCAGCAACACATTTGACATACAGACCATCCCACAGCAATGCTACCCACCCATTAATCAGTAGTCTCTCGGTTTCCAGGTTGACTGCCACGGTATCGTTCTGCTTATGCTCAAGTAACACTTGTTTTACTGAATATGGTACCCAAAGTACAAGAGTATTGATACTGGCATTTTGGTCGTGCCAAAGAGAAGCCATGATGGGATTGTCTTAATAAGGAAAGAAAGATACTATGTGGTGATGTCACTAAAATCGACAGTAAGTTATTGATTTTAATTTCCTAGTGTTTCTAATTGATAAACTAAGCTTTATCATAGGAAGGCACCCACTGAGGTCCTGACAAGTATCCCTATGGAAAATGCAAAGTTATTAACTTAGGTATCTTACTGTTTGAAACAAATGTTTGTGGGGTTTTAATTATTTTTTTTGTTTTGTAGTTCATATCGCTATGATTAATTATGCATCATAACTATGATTTCAGCATTGCCCCAGTTTGTCTGCTCTTTGTGGCTGCAGTGACCCTTGGTTCCATGGTCCCACTGCTCTAGTCATGCTCCTGGCTGTCCTGAGACACCTGTGAGTTCAAATACTCTGCTATTCCTTCATCCCCAGTCCGTGCTGAATACTTCTTACTTGCAGGCTGTATCTCACACTGTCTTTGGGATGAAGAATTTATGAATCCCTAAAAGAAGATGAGAAAGTAAAATCAAATGGAGCTCAACCAATTTCTGGTTCACATTATCAATATATGAATCACAAAAAGTCTAATATTCAGTTTAGCAATAAGCAGAGATGTGATAGACCATACCTCCCAGTTTTCCTCTTATCTCATTGGCCAGGCTTCTTGGATACATTTGTTGGGTCCTCCTCTAGTGATAATTATGATGATAATTACGCATGTTACCTATGCATACTTGCTTTGTGACCTTATCCAGTCTCCCGGCTTTATACATCGACTCTAAGTATTTGCAAATGCAAGCTCTTAGCTTCTACTTGATTTAAAAAACTCTCGTGTACAATACTTACTTGATAATTCCACTTCAAAGTATACTTGCACTTTAATTTTTGTACTCTGAAACCAAATTTCTGATCATGCCCTGTGCCCCTATCCTAGTGAAGCTTTCTCTGTTGCTGTGGTTAGAACGTGCTTTTTCCTCCAAACCTCACATTGTGTGGGCAGAAACTTAACTGTGTTGTTCAGACCTGGAACCTTTGGGAGGTGACTAGGATTCTAAGATTTCATCAGCATACAACTCTTGGGATTGACCACTGGTGGTTTTGTAGGAAGAGAGATTAAAGGGCACAAATACACACGTGCACCCTCCCTTCTCCGTGTCTCTTGGTATGTGATCTCTTATGCTACCAGCAGGAAGTGGCTCCTTGACCTTGGACCTCCAGAGTCATGAGCCGAATGAATATTGTCAGTGCACGATGCACATGACAGGTTGCCTCCCCAACTGCTAGAAAGATTTGAAATGGAACAGGTAGATGCAAAGTCCAGGCCACACCCTCTGCCACAGAGGAGTTTGTTTCTTCTAATATTTATTTCATTTTTGTGATGATTGATGTGATATATAAAGGACTAGCAGTTCCAACCTGTTTGTATGGAAAGATATTTTTAAAAGGTAATTTATCATCCCGAGGAAAAACAAATAAATGCTTAATTTGATAGGACTTAATTCCTGGAAAATAAAGTCTTGTCTAAGACTCTAGGCAAGATAATCAATTACAAAACTTAGTTGGATTTCTTGCTTAACATAGGAAACCAAAGATTATTTTTAAGATTTTGTTTTTATTTCTGTGTCTGTGTGAGTGTATATAGGTACCCGCAGAGACCGGAAGAGGCCATCGGATCCCCTAAAGCTGGAGTTCAGGGGATGGTGAGTTCCATCATGGGTACTGAGACCTGAACTCAGGTCCTCAACAAAAGCAGCTAGGGTCCCTAACTTCTGGGTCATCACTCCAGTCCCTCAGTAGTTTGTATTTTTCTGAAATCAATAATGTTGTCTGTCAACACATTTGGAATTGAATTTAGGAATTTCCTTAAAATACATTATTGTATTGAAAATGGATTTTTTCCTACCATATATTCTGATTGCAACTTTCCTTCCCCCAGCTCCTCTCAGATCCTTTTCTCCACCCACCCAAATTCACACCTTTTGTTTCTCTCCTCATTAGAATACCAACAGGCATCTAAAATTAATACGTTTTATTTCTCCACATTTTGCCACTAACTCAAAGTTGTCCGTGTTACCAGTGAGGACATAGTTCGTGTCACTTAGGGAATGCTTTTTAGTTTTCCTGGCAAATTCCAAAAAATAGCTTTTGAGCCAATTAAATTATTAGCTCTATATATCATACTTGTTATGTTGTGAAGATATTTTTATGTCACATTAGGAAAAAGACCAAGAATTTCTAATGTCAACCTCTCTTTTTCTCACCCTTTCGTGTGCCCTTGCCTCCTGCTCCAGCCTCCGACCCTGCCTGGCTCCAGCCCCGACGATGGATTGCACAGCGTGCTGAGATTGGTCCCCTGAGATCTATCTGGAGATCCAGTGGATTTTAGTGCTTGTTTGTTTTCATGGAAACTATGGTGGGCTTGAACTCAGCTCAAGTGCAGGCACGTGAGTGGACACGAAGGGAAGCAATCAGGAGGAATTCATATCACATAAGCCTTGAAGCTAGAGTATTTAGTAACGTTCTCACAGATTTCTGAAGGTTGTGGAAGGCTCCAAATGGCATTGAGTAACCACAGTCTAATTATAAGTCTTTGAAAAGAGAGTGTCTACTAAAAGGAAAATTTGAAGGAGTCTTTTGAGTTCTTGTTCAAGTCAACAACCCCAACATTATTTACTAGATATAACCAATGTGCAGGTCTCCCCAAAACAAAAATCATCCCTAACAGAATGAAAGCAGAAATTTAAGAATCATAATAAAATAGCATGCATTTCAATATGCTAAAACTCAGGATAAACTTCTCTGGGGGAATTGATGAAATAGTGGATGTTCCTCTCTTGGTGAATTTACCCAGATCAAATGCTGCCTCTGCGTGAAAAGTACATTGTGAGGGCTTCTGTGGCCTGTGGGATGAAGATGCCTCACACTGTTGGTGGCTGGGACCTGGGAAGATGTTGTCCTTCCTTTCACATACATGCTGTGACTTCACAACTCATGCTTCGATCAGTGCTTGGAGTTACGGGATCATCCAAGCAGGGTTAAGCACAAGCAATATTTCTGCTTCTGTTTATTCCACCAGGAGGGCCTTCTGAGGACCCATTTGTCTGAGTTCTTATGTAGCCACAAAACTTACATAGTGCAAACTGGAGGTACTTACCCTATTTTATTAAAATTATCATCTTATTTCTAAAGCTCCCCTACTGAAGAGGATTCTGGCCCAGGGGACAGTCAGAAGATGTCCATTGTTGTCCTCCAGAGCTTTGCAGGAAATCTGGAGAACCAGATGCCTCATCAATAACAGTAAAGATACCAGCACAGCTAATAATCTGTCCTTCATCTGTACTCCTCAGCCTGCTCCCAGGTCACCCCCAGATATTGTTTTTCAGGTGAATGCTATATTTATACCATCTTTTGGGATAGTGGGATCTCTTTTTATTAAAAATTTTCTTAGCAATTCATGCATATGTATACACACTGTTTATAACCAATATGGAATAAAAAGTATCCAGCCAAAATCTTGCTTTGAGAAACTCACAATGAAATAGATTCATTTTTTTATTTTTATTCATATAAAAATTTTTTGTGTGTATTTGGATGAAAAGAGGCAGCATAACCTAGTAGCTAAGATGGTAAAGAAGTCACCGTAACTCCCAATGCCTTAATTTTCTCACCTGAGCAACAGGAGTAAAGTCATATCACCTCAGAGACTGAGTGGTGAGTTAGCATGTATGAAGTGTTTGTCCATGGGAGGAGGATTGTAGGATATAAGCAAATACCACAGCATTTTATGTAAGGCTTTTGAGCATCTGCCAATTTTGGTAACCCCAAAGGGTCCCAACACCAATCCCCAACACATAGGGGACAATATGATTTGGGCAAAAATTGCTGGTCAGCTCTTGTTAGTCACACTGAGAACTTGACCTTTTACCCCGGGGCAATAGAAGGGATTTCAGTATTTGAGCAAAAAGTGCTGTGTAGCTGAAGCCAGACCTCCTGAACCTTAACAGATGGTACCTATCAACAAAGGTTATAGCCGGTCTTCCCAGGACTTGACCATAATTCTTAATTATCTCAGGATCCCCATAAGAACACAGCACCCTTTGTCAACAGGATGTAGCCTAGAAAACTAAATCCACATTCCCAAAAAATAGATTAGGGATGTCTGTCTTTATTTAGGTTGCTGGTTACAAATTGTTATCGGTCATAGTCAATCTCTTTCTAAAAGAAGAAAAGGGGATATGGTATAGAAATGTAGAATATATATATATATATATATATATATATATATATATGATAGGAGGAAAGGGTAGATTACTGAACCTACTTTTAAAGAGCAACTTGTTTAAAATGTTTTACATTGCTATGGATTTTAGTTTATTGGTACAAATTTAAAGTTAATTTTGTTATACTGTATGTATATTTCTACTCTTGTTTATTTTGTTTGTGCAACTCATTTGAAATTGTAGTGCATAGTTGAGAAATACAGATTAATAATTAGTCTTCTATGATAGTGAAACTTATAGTCATGTTAAGTTTTTTAGGTATACATAGACATAATTCAGTTAGGTAGGTAATCTTCAAACACTTCAAAGACCTACAGAATATGGCATTTAAAATGTTTTAAAAACAGACTTTTTGGACAGTGAGACATGTTTGCTCCTGGCAGCACCGATTTACTTCAAAGAGAAAGATGGGCACTGAAGACACTCCATATGGAGTTTATCTTCTTCTTGGCAAAAATGGCTATTTGGGCAAGAAACTGTTCTTGCCTGGACTGCTTGACAAAATGTTGCATAAACTGGACATGCAGGACCCATAGGAAGGTGACCACTGAACTTTGAAAGGCAAGACGGTCCTTCAGATTCCTGCTTCACAGAAAACCTGCCAGATATTCTACAGGACACAGGAAGAAGTGACTGAGGGACTCTAGACCTGTGGGTTGAAGATGGATGTCCCAACATTGCAGACGAACTTTGGATGACTATCCAGGCAGGCAGCTGTCTCTGTCATTCTAGATTTTTGGAAGTTGCTCACAGTGCTCTTCCTGTTTACTTAAGTAATATTACATCCTTCTGAGGTCTTTGATGTAGCTGAAGACTAAATAGTTATAATTATGATTTCCCTGGTTATGATAAAAGATAAATTAGATATGAAACTTTAGACTCACAAATATAGGATAGATAGAATATTTTCTTTAATTTTACAAAATACAAATATACTAAATATTGTAACTGTAATTCTTGCTTGGTAACTGTTTGTCATATGTAATTTCACTATGTTAAAGTTAAACCCTTTCTTTTTGATTAGACAGAAAAGGGGAAGTGCTGTGGGATGTTCTGTATGCTGTGAATGTGTTGCTCTGATTGGTTGATAAATAAAAAGCTGATTGGCCAATAGCCAGGCAGGAAGTATAGATGGGATAAACAGACAAGGAGAATTCCGGGAAGAGGAAGGGCTGAGTCAGGAGTCGCCAGCCAGACACAGAGGAAGGCAAAAATGAGAAAAACCAAGCCACGTGGCTAAACATAAATAAGAATTATGGGTTAATTTAAATGTAAGAGCTAGTCAGTGGTAGGCCTGAGCTAATGGCTGAGCAGTTTTAATTGATATAATCCTCTGTGTGTTTACTTGGGTCCAAGCAGCTGCAGGACTGGCAGGTGAGAGAGATTTGTCTTGACCATGGAACACAGGAAATCTTCAGCTACAGTGCTGTGTTCTGTCTTACTGTTAACAATAAGTTTAGTTATTGGCAAGTTTACTGTAACTACTACATGGAGAATGTCCTAGACAGCAATGAGATCTGAAAGATGGGATGGTGGTACAGACCAGCATTGACATGGAGGCAATATAATGTTCAGGCTATGTTCTGAAGACATGCAGGAGACACCACAAATGGAGAGTCGGGTTCAAGGGACTGTGTTTTAGCCAAACATGTACTACTTGCCAGAGAAGGAGGAGATAAAGAGGCAGTCGAGGACCAGTGATGATGCGAAGGGAATGGACAGCAGCAGAGGATACCAACTAGTGGATATTGGTGGAGAGCTTCCCTTGGGAGACAGTATTATAATAAAATATAAGTGATGGGGAAGTTTGAATGCTAGAAATGTAGATTATATTAGAGTTGCAATTTTTGGTAATAACACGGTCTAGGACTTTGCATAGAAATGACTGGCTGACATAAGCTGATGGCTACAGTCATGAAGGAAAACAGGCATAGGTCTTAGAAGTTAGGGGACAAGACAGGTCACCTACACAGCTATGGCAGCACCAAAAATTAAGTTAGCAGTAGTGTTGAAATGGTCGGGTGTCCGTTAGAACTGAAATCTGTGGATAATTGCAACAAGAAAAGGAAATGGCTTGTGCTAGTCAGAAGAAATCATATTCAAAGTCATAGTCTCCAGGAGGAGGGAGGAAAGCCTGGTCAGAAGGAAGGGGACGCCTCTCATACTCTGTTCCTCTCGCAGGTCCAGTAGTTCAGGGATAGAAGAACAGCCACCACGCAGAAGGACCCCAGAGAAGAGCTTACAGTAAAGCAGGAAAATGAGAGAAGAGCCTATGCAAATAAGACTCACTGATGATGGACCATGAGCTCTAGTGGGCAACGCCTCCTTCCTTACCCCTGCTTTTGGCTGAGTAGAGAGGCTGCCTTAGTTAGGGTTATTATTGCTGTGATGGAACACCATGACCAAGGCAACTCTTATAAAAGGAAGTATTTAATTAGAATTAGTTTACAGTTTTAGAGATTTAGTCCTTTATCATCATGGTGGGAGCATGGTGACATACAGGCAGACATGGCGCTGGAGAAGGAGCTCAGGGAGTTTTACACTGGATCCGTAGGCAGCAGTAAGAGAGGGGCTGGGCCTGGCATGGGCTTTGGAACCTCTAAGCTCACCTCCAGTGACATACTTCCTCCACCAAGGCCACACCTCCTAATCCTTCTCAAGTAGGGCCACTCCCTGATGACTAAACATTCAAGTATATGAGCCCGCAGGGGTCATTCTCATTCAAACCACCACAGAGGCTGAGGACAAAGCAATGCCCTTTCAGTAGACATGAATGTTCTAGGTTCAGCAAATCATGAATTTGTGTTAGCAGATTGCTGTAAAATGCCTTTGCATCTCAAGGCTGACGTGTTTTGTCTGCTATGAGAAGCAGTAAGAACTAATTCCTACATGTGCTATAGGTTCCCAGTAATGAAGGGAAGGGCCTCATTGGAAACAGAGGAGGCCCGTTTAGAGGGACAGTGACGTTCTTTGATCAGGACTGTTTAGTAAAGAGTTGGGCAGAGCCTTCCTGAACCTCTCATTAAGCCCTAGGTTCGGAAAGCAATTAACACCAAGTTAGATGAGTGTGTGGGTTCTTGGGACCTTTTGTGGTGCAATGCTGCTGAATTTCAGCCACTCTGCTGAGCGCAGGGTCAAGGTCAAGACTACTTTTTACCCAGTTTCTGCTATCCTCACTTCCACTTCTAAGTATCTGTTTTCTGAACAGGGTGCTGAGAAAACCAGGGTTGTACAGGTCTCCAATTGATTAATTCTGGCAGTTCTTGGCACAGAAGTACCATGCCACTCTCTTTTTTCTTAATAACTATTCTATGACATTAATACAGAGTGGCAAATGGAGATAGATTTTCTTCATAATTTTTTTAAAGAAAATATTAGGCTAAATCATCACTACGCTTCACTTATCTTCTTCAGCTGGAATAATGTAATGGATTTTTAAAATCGTTTTCTTCCTTGATGTTACATTTTGGGGGTAAAAACTGATCTTCTGTCCAAGCAATTTCAAAAGCATTTTATTGATTTGTTTCAGGAAGATTTCCATTTTTATATTCTTAGAATAGAAATAAATGATATCTGACTCACTTAGGCAGTATATATTATATTTACAATCTTTCCTAGCCATTACCAGGAAAGCAATAATGAAAATCAATTATATGCAATAAAATGCATCTTTTTTTTTTCTTTTGGCACCCATAACCTCATGTATAAACCTATGAGGCCATTACATGTTACTTAGGCACAATTTTATCTTTAATTTTTAAAGTACTTTTGGTGCTTTTATTGGCTCGTATCAAAAGAAAAATATTGTGATTGTTCAAGAATCAAAACTCATGTGGTCAAGGTCGAGGCAGGGGGAGGAGCAGAGGCAGGGGGAGGAGCAGAGGCTCCAGCTAGGGCTGGGCTAGGGCACTGTTTGCAGAACACCCTCCTAGCATGCATAAGGCCTTGGATTCCATCCCCAGAACCCCATAATCCCCGCAAGGTGGCACATACTTGTAATCCCAGGGTGTGGGAGGTAGAAACAGGAGGATAAAACATTCAAGGTCATCCTCAGATACATTACGAACTTGAGGCTAGCTTGGGCTACTTGAGACCCTGTCTGAAACTGCAAACAAACTTTCCTTCAAAATATCCAAAAACTCATACATGCAAATAGTGACAATCCTGTTTTTCCTACAACTGAACTTAATTTCATCTCTATCTTGCCTTTGGCAGAAAGCTCTGTCTTTTTGCTTGAAGTAAAGGCAAGCAAACACAGTCACATCTCTGTCATAGAGGAGCAAGCAAGTCCAGCATGCTCTCCTTTCTCCCCTCTCCCCAGAATGGAATTTCATGTTGGGCTGGAGGAGCCACCCTTAACATGATGGCTCAGATAAGCAGAGAGGTCAGTGTTGTCGCTCCTGGAGATGGCTGATGGCTGAACACACTCAGATCCACCCAGTCCACACTGGTATCTCCAGATAGGGTCTCTTTGAAGAACTAGGAGATCTTTGGACTAAAGAGTCTTCCTTCGTGTAATGTAATCACTAATGCAAGTTGTGGTGATGGGGAAGTTGGCCACTGTCCCTTACCTTTCTTGTCTTTAAGGAACTCCAGGCTGCTACTGGACTCTGTTCTGTTTCTTCCTCTCAGAGAGGCATTAGAAACTTCTGTGAGGTCACTATAGGTTTTCTGCCTCAAATAATAATTTTCTCGGTTGATGCATAAGCCAGATCAAGCCAAATTCAAAAGATGTAATGACAGTTTTATTGAGGGCAAAGCAATTCCTGGGTAGATTCATTGATCTCAGAGATCAATGGCAGAGAAGTCGCATAAGGCAGGGTGGTTTTATAGAGTGTAGGCAAGGGGTGATGATGTGTCCGCCACAAACTGGGTTTTTGCTCAAGTATGGTCAAAAGCCGAACAC